AGAGGCAAATACGCGCTAACGTGCTTCCCTTGTCACATGCGTTAAGTATACACGATTTTAATAAATGAAGTTTAAAATCCTTTGTTAAATGACAGTCGTTTTCATAATCTCACAAATTCATTGAAAGGGCAATGTATTACAATTTGCCTTCTAGGAGGCTTGAAAATCAAACCCGGGACCTCTGGAAGGTAGTTCAGCATAGTAACCGTTCAGCCACGGAGGCAGTAAAAGTAAAAATGTAAGGTGGCTCGAATTACATATCCGGGAGTGTAATTGTGAGCTCTACTTACCTCCTAAGCGAACTACAATGGGAAAAGCGCTAAACTCCAAAGTACATTAAAATGTACTAAATGAGGCTACCGGCACAAAAGTTGGTGTAAGACACATTTAATTTTTTTTTTACGATCCCGTGATCGAGTGGCTTGCATACTAGTTTTCGTGGTGTAGCCATCTCAAAGGTCCCGGGTTCGATCCCCGGTCGGGTCAGTGTAGAAATTAACTTTACTATATTTTCTCGGATCTGGATGTTTGTAGCACCGTGTCGTTGTTTCCGATTTGCATAACACAAGTTCTTTAGTTACTTACTTTGGGATCAGAGCGACGTATGTTTGTGATGTTGTCTAATATTTATTATTTAATTTAATAATTATGTTTTGGTCATAAAAGAAAAAGAGAAAAACCGAAAATGGCGTATAGTACGCAAATAAAAAGAAGATCAAAGTGAACAGCTATAAAGAGGTCATAGAACCGGCTATGAACCGTGAGGAATGGAGAAGGCTACACCGACAAGAGTCTAGCTCTTAAATAAGACGATATTGGTCACATATGATTATTATTTATAAAATTATTTGGTTAATTCTAAAACCCTCATTCTTCTTCATCTTCTTTATGTATTTCATGGGGTTACACCATTTTTGCGCTGATAGCTTTAAATATACTTCTAATTACATTGTTTCAAGCCCAAGCAAGTAGGTATGCTCTCAATTTTGTATGATAAACGAATTTTTGAAGATACCCTAGGGTTACTTAGAATATAGGTACAGCGCTAAATTTGAATGCGATATTTTTATTCTAATGTACACTGGCCGTTTGCGTGACCATTGTCTGGGTCTGGATCAATTCACATAATATATAGAAGTACATTTTGATGTACATGACACCTCAGGAGGTTAGGAACAAATATCCAATAAACCGCATACACCCGAGTTTAGGGAAGTAATGCCACCTTATCTATTTCTGCTGCCAAGCAGTAATGTGAGCAATACTGCGTTCCGATTTGGAAGGCTAAGGGTGCTGGTGAAGTTACGGGCACATGGACTTGTGTACTTATGTCTGAATGTGACGGGCGCAGTGGTAGAGCCCCAAAGATCTTTGCGATTTAAAGCTCTGAGCGGCACTGCAACTGGATAGGTGTGTCGCTTGCCCCTAAGCGCGCCACTTGTTTGTCCCGTCACTTGATATTATAAAAAAATCCCCTAATTTTCTTCACATGTTAATGAGACTACTACTGAAGTTACCTCCTCTCCGTCAAAAAAAGAATAATCGAAATCGGTTTAGAAATGTCGGAGAAACCGCTTAATAAACACAAAAAAAACAGTCAAATTGAGAACCACCTCCTTTTTGAAATCGATTACTAAATAACTTACTCAATATAGTTAACATCCTCATCGTCGCACTATTAAACAACTATGTGTATAAATATATTTATTCCATAAATCACACTAGGAAATAAACGGATGTCTTTATTTTAATTTTCTTTAAATTATTGCCTTCTTTATTTGCCGTAACTAATAACGCTTCTGACACGGTCTGAGATTAATTTCATATGTATTGCATTTCTAAAGCCCTAAAATCATTTGATAACAATGTATTTAATCTTGGTTAAAAGTACCAAGAATAATACGTGCTTGAAAAGACGGATGTTGAGTTTGAACAAAAACTTTATACTAAAGGTTATTATACAACTTCTGCGTACTTGGATGACAAAAAATCCTTGGTAGTGAGCCGTTTAGCCCTTTTAAGGTATTCTCTATCTAAGTTGTTTCAAGTATATTTACAAAGAGAAACCCCTGGAGTTTCTAGCTCTTCTACTCAGGGAAATCTGCCTTACGAATGAGCAGTAGAGTTTAATCAATATGACAATTTCTAATGTAATTTGCTTACCGATGAATTAAAGATTATTTGACTTTGACTTTGAAGGAACGCGAAAGAAGTGGGAAGTGTAGCGGGTAGAACTTCAAAATCTCTTTCTATCCCAATAGGAGACATACATGATGATATGTATTGTGAATACACAATAACTTAAAATACCTTAAAAAATCTTAATTAAATATAGTTAAGATATAGATTTTAAGACCTAACCTTTATGTCATTAAATATTAGACAACATTACATACGTTGCTCTGTTCCCAAAGTTTGTAGCTAAAGTACTTGTGTTGAAATCTGAAGCAACGACGATACCACACACACCCAGACCAGAGACAATATAAAAAACTGTTTTTCTACCCTGGATTCTTTTTGTCCTGATCGGGCTGGGGATCGAACCCGGGACCTCAGAGATGGCGACAATATGAAAACCAGTGTGTAAGCCACTCTACCACGGAAGTGGTCAACACGTTGCGCCTGTAACTAGAATAACATTTAAGAAAAGGAGTACAATTTATATAGAACATTATTATATTTCATACGCTTCATTGTGGCACTTCATATGGCTATTCGTATTTGCGTATTTGTTGTATTTGGCAAACAATCAGTATGTGTAGATAGCATGTATAACAAAGCATTTGCCTTGTTTGCCTATTCGACAAATACAGCCAACACAAAACTCGCGTAACCGCGCGCTGGTTTGTTTTGGTCTGGTTCTCAACGCACATCAAAGGAGCCAAATAGGCAAATATGCAAATAAACCGTCTACACTATGGTCATATTTATTATTTTAAGTCCTTATTTAGCTCCATGTGTTTGTGAGTGTTTGCATGTTTGCCTGTAAGTCAAATATGTTTCCAAGTATATCAAACACTCAATAGCGAATACAAGTAACCACGTGAAGTGCCGCCATAACACAAAATTGGGGTGCATGGAAGAAGCCTTGCACCCTAAGCTCAGCTAGTACCTTATACTGATTGGCAAATTCTTCCACCACGATGGCAAGCAATAAGGGTATGTTCACACGACAAGCGTTCAACTTGCGTTCAACGCGCATTAAGTTTTTGAATAGCGTACACATGACGGGCGCTTTCGAGCATTGAGCGCGCGTTGAATAAATCCGTATTAAAATCTTCTGTACCCATTTCTAGAAAAAAATTCAATTTCAATTGCAAAACACGTCTCGCCGCGTCGAAAACGCGCGCTCATGTGAACAGCACTACGGCAAACCTTAGAGCATGTTCACATGGCGAGCGTTCAACTGGTGTTTCACTGACGCGCTTACAATTTACCGAATTTTGTACGTAAATCGCTGTATGTGGTCACATGTAAGCCGCCAACGCGCACTCAACGCCGCGCTAACGCCAGTCCATAGGTTTGTCGTACTGCCGTTCACATGAGCGCGCGTTTGGACGCGGTGCGACGTGTTTTGCAATTGATATAAAATCCACAAACATATAGCTGTTTCCACGTCCATCTTCGACTAATAACCTTGCACTGAAACAGTGGTGATACGCGTTCAACGCCCGAAAAGCGCCCGCCATACGTACACTATTCACAAACCTAACGCGCGTTGAACGCTTGTCAAATGAACATATCCTTACAGAGTATGCCATTGATAGGATAAGAAAAAGAAGTACATAATGTCGGCTTATTGCAAGAAGTCATTAATCGCCATATAAATTACATGGCAATTAATGACTTCATGCACTAAGCCGACGATTAAAAATTTAGCAGAACATGAAATACTGTTTTTTTTTACGTGAAACTAAGTTTTTTCGTAGGTCTTCAAGGATATCCCCTACTCTGTACACCAAATTCTAAAAGCAGGTTTTTATTCAATGAAGTTGTAAATATATTTAGGAATTGATTTTTGTTGACTTGAAGGAATGCATCAAATTAGAACTTTTTTTTTACCGACTTCAAAATTTTTGTTAGAAAGAGGGTACCTCCATAGTGGTACCATTTTATTTTGAAGAAAATCATCCACCTCTAAGGGTGGCTGTTCACGCATGAAGATTCATTTTTATAAATAGCGCCTAAATTTTACTTAAAGAGCAATTATTTTAGTGGTTGATTTTGCTATTCTCCAATTCAAGGCGTTTTTCTCTCAATGTATTTTGAGTAGTGAGAACCGATTTTTATTATCTCCTGTGTCAAGTCCTGTATAGGGGCGAACTAGGGGATATTTCAATAAAACTTGGTAAATAGACGTAATTCCACGTACTTTTGAGGTCGGCTTTTTTAGTACTCTGTACTGAGATTATTATAGTATAAAGTGACGAGACGAACAAGTCGTGCGCCTAATGTAAGCTACACGACTGTCCGTAACAGTTGCAGTGCCACTCAGAGCTTTAAATCGCAAAGATCTGAGGGGCACTGCAAATGCGCCTGTCACCCTGAGACATTAGCTAACATTACTGCTTGGCGGCAGAAATAGGTAAGGTGGCAGTACTTCCCTGGACGAACTCTTTCACAAGGAGCTCTACTGCGGTTATTGGAAAGTGGGTGAAATCCAATAAACCAGATTCATTCCCTAATTTACCATCCTTATATGTGGAATATTTTTTTTTTATTTGAATGGTATCACTACAGACGTGCCCTCTTTCCAACAAAAAAGAATCATAGAAGTCAGTTTTCACGTTTAATATTGGCAGTTGTATCGTAAAATACGATCGAAGGAGGTTGTCACCCCTTCCTTTTTTTTGAAGTTCGTTAAAAAATAGAAAACATTTTAATATTCCCTTGATTAGGCTCTACGTAACAAAAAACTTAATAATTTTGAAATTTTTTATTAATTTCCACATTACAGAGCCCAAAATTCTTTAAAATTGTATTAGAAAACAGATCAAATGTGAAGCCAAATCCATCTACTATGACGTGTACAAATCTATTTCCAATAGTTTATTTTCGATGTGGAGGTGCGCTTCCCGCAAGAGGTCGAGATGCTCCTATGGAACCTGGCACGTTTTGCGGATAATAAATTACATTAACTGGACGCGGTGATGGCGGTGGTGGAGACGGACGTGGTGGAGGTGGAATCGGATAATACTGGTCTGGTTGGTATGGCGGCGGATATACGTTTACGGGGATAGGTATAGGACTGTTATCTTCGCAAGGTCCATAGCTAACCATCTGCAAGCCGACATAATTGTAATCGCACTTCATTTCGCATACGCTGCTGTAAGTTTTTCCATTGTTTGCGCAGATTGGTGTTATGTCCGGTTTGCAACCACACACAGGGGGATACCAAGTGCTTGCATCCGATCTTGATATTAGGATGAATAATGACACTGGAAAATAAAAAGATATTAATTAGTAAGTAAACGGTTTTGTAAGTAGTCAATTATTACTATCTATTCGACGACCTCCGTGGTCGAGTGACTTGCACACTTGATGTTCATGGTGTCGTCATCTATGAGGTCCTGGATTCGATTCCCGGCCGGGTCAATGTAGAAAACAAATTTTTGTATATTGTCTCGGGTCTGGGTGTTGGTAGTACCGTTGTTGTTTCCGATTTAGATAACACAAGTGCTTTAGTTACTTACTTGGGGATCAGAGGACGTATGTGATGTTGTCTTATATTTATTTATTTACTATCTTATTTATTTTATTGAATGATGTTTTTACTATGATGATTAATTTTTTTGTGGAAATATTTCACTAGTTTGTTCTTATTATTGATATATGTTAGGTAAAGGTGGGCGGGACATTTGGCTGGACTAGAAGACGGACGATGGACCAAAGCAGTCACGGAATGGTGACAAAAGAGCAAGGCAAAGGATGAGGAGCAAAAAGACCAGTGGGCAGACCACTAGCCCGATGGTCTGACGATATCGTCAGATTTCCGGGAACCGGGAGCGGGAAAATATTGGCGCAATAAAGAAGAGGCCTATGCCCGGCAGTGGGTTGATGTTGGCTGACCATAATGGTGATGATGATTGATATAAAGATCGAACAAACACAAAGAAAATTTCCTTTGATTCGGCTGGACTCGAACCAGCGACTTTTTCGCCAAACCGGGGCAATCGCTCTCCCAACTAAGCTGTTATAATCTTACACCAAGCATAAGCACATGTCGTGGCAACGTGTAAGTGAACCAACACAGTATTTATTAGTTGACCATTCGTTTGTACATGTTTTGTAAATCCTTAATAAATAAATAAAAGTAATTTGGACATCAAAGTTGTAATAATTTTTCTGTTAAGATCATTGACTTACAAATAAATGGACGACGGGTCTAATACAAAAACCACGAAAAAAATGTCCCAAGTCAACCTATTCGAAATTTAAATTGTAATGTCATCGCAGTATCGCGCTGTCAGTCGAACAAATGAAGACTAAAGCGGAGTTTGGCGCTCTGTATACGATTTTAGCGCCTTACAAGTGCGGACACTTTTTAGCGCGGACCCGACGTCCATATAATTGTAAGTCAATGGTTAAGATACATTTTTTTATGATTCCAAATGATGAGACGAATAAGTCGTGTGCATGGTGGAAAGCGACATGTTTATAACAGTTGCAGTGTCACTCACAACTTTAAACCGCAAAGATCTGAGGGACACTCCCACTGCGCCCGTCACCCTGAGACATAAGTTGACAAGTCTCATGTGCCTGTAATGAGCAGTATTAATACTTTTTAAAATGACCAAACTTGGTTTTGCTGTATATCTACGGAGACAGTCGCCAATTTAATCGTACCGTAGGCAAACTTATTAATTAGCAATTCACGCCTTAGCAATTTGTGCCAGAAGTTATTAAATGGCTAGGTATGCATATATTTCTGTAGGCGAGAGATAAAGATAATCAATTGTGAAATAGTAATTTTTACCACAGAGCGTTTTAAAGAGAATGAGGCTCTTAATTAGGCATTTTAAATCAATATCAACGACAAATAAAAAATAAACAGCGTTAGGGCTTAATGTCTTTTACCATTTCGTGATTATTAGTATTTGTAAAGCAATCTTAATTTATTAATAGTTAATGCAAAAATATGAACTAAAGGCGCCTTCACATCAGGCGCTAGTAGAAGCGCTACAGTGGCGCGTCTGTGGCGCTACAGCCACACCACTACTGATTTCCATACAATATCAAGTCTACATAATTGTAATTTTTTGTAAAGAAAAACCAACCTCAAAAGTTTGTGGAATGACATCTATTTACCAAGTTTTATTGAAATCGGTTACCGGAAAATGCGCGAAACCGGATTCGTCCGCTAGTTTGCCACCCTTAGAGGTGGAATATTTTCTTCAAATTTAAATGGAACTGAGGTACCCTCTTTACAACAAATCGGTCCACAAACGCCAGAGTGATCGCGTAACATACATAAAAAGATACAGTCGAATTGAGAACTTTTTTTGAAGTCGGTTAAAAAGTGGTGCACGTGCCACTTTCTTAAATCTGTAGGTTACAAGTTAAAAACCTTAAGGATGCCATCAAATTAGCGTATAGAAGCGATGCAGTGTCACAACTGTGGCACTGCAGCTGCGCCTCTAAACATTGTATGAAAATTAGTGAGGCGCGGCTGCGGCGCTTCTATGAGTGTCTAATTTGAAGCGCCCTTAAGATCCTTCACCTCTCACTTACAAATTTAAACATTAGTTTTTATGGTCACCGTGTGATAAGGGACTTATTAGCATTTACCTTCCGTGTCCAGCGAACTATGAAAGGGAGTTTGGATGAGAGCGTACCCGCAGGCGGCAGGAGAGTCGGAAATAACCACTCTAACCCTAAGTGATTTAGGTTAAAAACCGATTTTATAAACTTACCAATTAACGTGAGCACCTTCATCATGTGCCTTTTTCAATCAACTACACACACAAATGAAATATTTTTCACCTCATTTATATAGTAAATAAAATGAGGTACATTTTAGCTACGGTATTTAAAAAATCATTATTTTTTTAATCAAGACTGTAACTAAACCATTGAAGCGAGTGGCTTTGATTATTTTTATAGCACTTATATCATGATCCTAATAATATCAACGTAAATGAGAAATATGCGTGTGCTTAATTTGTTTATAACAAATATTGAGAAAAAAACACTGCTTCAAATACTTTGACTTGTTTTTGTATAACAAAACAAAGTTTTTAGATTAGATTCTGATCCTGTTGGAATTTTTTTATAAATAATTTTATGTTTTTTTACGAATTTATTGGCATATTTCATTTCACAAACGATATGGCTGACTAAGCGGAATTGTACCCTAAACCTTGTATTATTCAAATATCTTAGAAAAAAAAAATTATACAAGAGGTCAATGATACAAGTGAATAAATTTTTTTCTTTAGTTCAAATCTGTCGTCATTTTCATGTAAAGCATGCTTTAAATAGACAAAAAACACTTAATGTAATTCTATTCAAAAGGTCTAGAAGAGATATTAAGTTAGTTGAGTTCAAGGCGTACTTTTAGGTACTTACGTAAATGATTTTATATCCGTACCATTATAATATGTATCATAAATAATGCTTATTGTTACAAAAATAGTCACAACATAATAGCGAAGTCTCTGACCTCAGGTAGGTATAACCGGTGTTATAGGAGTCAGTGTCCTCTCTCAAACATTTGACACAGCTTGTTGCCTATTTCTTAACAATTATGTTAATGTTAACAATGTTAATTGGTACATTATTAAATATCAAATATACATTATAAGTTTTACTGCATGTGCCCTCACTCACCCATACACGCATGGGTGAGTGAGTGAGTGTGTGTGAGTTTGTGTGTGATAATAAACGTTCGCGCGTTAGTAGTATTGGGTTTATTTTATTGTTATTGCCTACAAATACTTACACCAATTAAAAAGGTTATTTATATGTACATACCTATAATTTTGCCTCCCTTTTCCCTTCGGGGTAGGCAGAGACAACGGCCTTGCACTCATCTCCGCCTCATCAACCGTCATGAGTGCTTTCATATATGTTCGTCGATTTAGAGAACCCTGAACCTGGCCTTCCTATAGGATAGTCCTCGATTTGGCCATGGTAAGTTCGTTTATAAATACTTATCAAACCAAGTGAAGGGACGAACACACCCTGCACCTGATCGTAAGCGACTGTCCATACTAGTCGTAGTGCCACTTAGAACTTTACATCGTAAAGATCTAAGGGGTACTGCCATAGCGCCCTTTACCCTGAGACGTAAGTTAACATGTCCCAGGTACCAGTAATTTCACCAGCACTCTTGCCCTTCAAAGCTGAGATACAGTAATGCTTACATTACTGCTTGGTGGCAGAAATTCGCAACACTCGTGGAAGAATGGCATAAGTGGAGTTACGTCAAACATGTTTATTGCTCCATTAGATACAGAAAAATATAACCCACGACGAATTCTTTCACAAGGAGTTCTACTTCTACCAAAATGTTAATTACGTAGTAGTTACTGTTAGTTAACAGTTTAATTACTTATTCTGTTATTCTATCTCCATGTTTTATTTTTACTTATCATCTATACTTCATCATATTTCATACCGCAACGCTTAACAGCAGCTCCTTGTGAAAAAGTTCATTCAGGTAAAAAACTGCCATCTTACCCATTTTTGCCGCCAAACAGTAAAGTGGACATTGCCGCGTTATGGTTTTGAAGGGTGCTGGTGAAATCGTAGACACTTGGGATTTGTCAACTTATGTGTCAGGGTGACGGGCGCAGTCAAAGTCAAAGAAACATTTATTCTATAGATAAAAACTAATTATAATAAATTTATACTTGAAAACGTCACTGTTAAACACCTGCTCGTTCACTACGCTAACTTCCCTCACAAGAACGAGCAAGAAACTCTAAGGATTGCTGGTTTCAAACAAACTTAAATGCTATGGAATACACTTTGAATCAAATTATACATCTTTATCTAACACGTAGTCTACAATTATGTCATATAACTTCTCAAATAAAGTATTTGTAATGTAGTTGTTAAACTTAGGAAATGAATCGGAATCTTATTGTAAAAACGTATACAATTCCCCATAAAAGTGGCAGTGGCCCTCAGATCCTTGCGACTTATATCTCTGATACTGACGTTGCAACTGCTATAGACAGGCGTGTCACTTACCACCAGGCGCACGATTTGTTCGTTCTGTCACTTGGTATCATAAAATAATATCTGTGCCTCTACCACATTGAGTTTATGACCAGAAATAGAGACGAAATAAGGGCCATCCATCTTTGGCAACTCATCAGGCAAATGGGCCTCCACATCGTATCACTTTTAAATATCAACTCTCCTTTGCGCTCAAATCACAAATTAGAAAGCTTGAAAGGGTTGTGACCCTGACAAGCTGTGACCAGGTTCACGGCAGTAAAACAGAAAACTTACGGTCAACAAATTTATTGAAAGTCGGGTTAAGAAGAAATGATAAAGAAGTAAGGCTGTAACAATAAAAGGTATATATAGAAAACAGGTACATTATTATAAAACACTACACTTCCTAACTTGATGAAAAAGATATTAATTAGACACTTACCCCTAAAAGGGCCGAGTTATACTGAATTACAGATACGTATTCATAGGTACATGGTAGGGATGTAGACTTTTATATACTTATTAGAATTGATACATAGTTAGATTATAATAATTATAACTTTGCAAAAGAATCAGAAACAGAATTTAAGCAGCTCCGTCCACTGTCGCGATCAAGCAGGGAGTGACGATGGAACGAAACAAAATAAGACTGTGAGGCAAAAGAATGGAACAATTCAAAACTTAAATTTAAATGCGAGTGGCCAGAATAGGAGAAAGGCGATAAAAAGGTGGGATGACGATGCAAGGAGGTCACACCGTCACAAGCTGAAATAGTGCAGCACCAACAACTCACCTGTGTATACGTCTTCGTATATTCCAAAAATATTCTGTATTTATTGTAATAAAGATAATATCTCTAACAATAGGGGCTGTTCCATTCGATGGTGTGGGAAAAGCAGCAAAACATCTAATTACAAAACAAACGGAATCGCATTTCATCGGTTAATAAATATTAAATATGTAATTGTTCAATCGTCGTCCATTATAGCATAACTCAAGTTAAACTGATCGATTTGAAGTGAAACAATTGACGACACCCATCAATTGTTTTGAATTTGAGATGGCCAGTCGGAGCGCCGATGTCACCGTAATGATTCGGCAGAATAGTTTTCAAACAAATAACGACATTTCGTATCCATTTCTGGTTATAATACTCGATGCTCTACAATGAGGCTACAGTAAAAGTTCTCGCTAGCGACCGCGAAAAATATTTGTATACAAAATGTTATTTCTTCATGTAACCGCTAGGGGCGCTGTATAATTTACCATACAAAAATTGTGAAGTAATTTACATGGTCACTAGTGACAACGTCACAGTAATTTCGTGGTAGAGGCATAGTTTCAAAATTGCACAATAGTTTTTGACATTGATAAATCTTAGGGTATTTAATACTGAAAATCCAAGTTGGCTCGAAATACGTATCCGGGAGTGTATATGCAGATACTCTCATTCAATGACCAACAAAACGATTACATTTGATGCCAGAACTAGAGACATTATTTTTACACTTTATTTGTATTCGGTTGTGGTGTCCGCCAGTTCGACGCACACTACTCATTAGTACTGCAAAGTTCGGTATTTTAGTTTCTGAACATGAACTATACAATGTAAACAAAACTGTTGTGTTGTACAACGTTGATGTTAATTAAAACATATTTAAATAATGTTTCATTTAAAATCAAAATGTGTGTTCATTTTGTTTGTCTTGTTTTGGGTACAAGCTGCGGCAGTTGGTGAAGTGAATATTAGTAGTGATAATTTTACTTTTACTTACAACAGTAAGTTATTTTCGTTTATTATCCAAAAGAGTTTCTTTATTTTTTTATTTACGTGCATGTTTTGAACGTATAATATTGTGAAACATTGTTACTGAACGGTAACAACTAGTAGTTTTATGCAATAGCTTAAATGCTGTATATTTATTTATTTTGCTTAATACCTGAAAATTATAACCATTCAAAATTATACAGTATTTTCATAAAGCAATAGTCCATATTTCTTATTTGATAAACAATACAGGCTGTAACAAAGAGTGCGACCATAATCACGCCCTGGCTTCAACCACAACTAAAAAATGACAATTGTAACAACTACAAGAAAACAATATAATATACACTATATACTCAGTTTTAGTCGCAACAATGGCACAAATTAAAATAACTATACTGTATAATATTTACGTTTGAAGTAAAAATATGTCTTCTTTGTTTTCGATTAACACCCTAGGAATCACAATCACACAACAACACAAAACCTAATGTCGGTTTTGTGTTGTTGCTAACTTCAAGGTTTCCAATTTTTTACTGAAAAGCAGCGGAACTTCATGTGCCCCAGACATCCCTTAAGATTTTTTACTTGTGACGCTTTTGAAACCGATGCGTCATATTTCAGATGGTAATCGTAATAAGCAACTTCAGCGAAAAATAATTACAAGACGAAAAAGTTTTCGATCTCTATATATCATGTGCGCTACAGATACATTCAATTTGTATGATGAAGCAATATTTTATTTTCAAATTCAGAAACGTTTTATCATGCTCGCATAATTGTTTTTCAACCATAATATCGCATAAATAAGGTCATCGAGCGTTCTCGCGAGAATTTTTAATTTTAATATTGCATCACATTTTAATATAATAAGTGACTGGAATAAACCTTCGCAATCGTTTAGTATTTTAAAATAAATTATTAAAAATTTGACTTGTAACCTTTTTTCGTCAAAAATATTTCGTCTATTAAAAATCACTCTCTGAGTTTTCCAAAAATTAGAACTAAACTTTGCGTAACCGGTAATAATTAATAATTTCTCGGTAATAGATGTCTATCTTTGAGATTTTATAACTAGACGAATTAAATTTATAAGTTCAAATGAAATGGATAATTAGCGTTGTAGAAGTGAAGTGCTGTAATACGATCGATGCCTTGGATAAATTACAGCGTCGTGCTACTCGAATTATAGGCGACGAAGAGGTCTCATCACGCCTTGAACCTCTGCAACTGCGTAGAGATGTTGCATCGCTTAGCGCCTTTTACCGCATGTACCATGGTGAGTGCTCTGAAGAGCTGTTCAACCTCATCCCCCCTTCCCCGTTCCTGCTCAGAAGCACGCGTGCTGGCCTTCGTAGTCACCGTTTCACTACCTGCCGCATTCCATAGCGTACTAAAAGGTTCGGTGGCTCCTTTCTCTGCCGCACGGTTGACAAATGGAACTCCCTTCCGGCACATGTCTTCCCTCCCTCTTATGATATGGGGTCCTTCAAACGAGGCGTGAAGAGGCATATTGTAGGCAGGCAGGGTGGAGGTGGCTAGTGCAGTGAGGGTTTCATCGCTGCACTAGGTTCCTTCGCGTTTGGATACCACTTTCCACTTAACATCAGGTGGAGTGGAGTAATTTGCCTGTCATGTATAAAAAAAAAATAAAAACAAATAGACCGTATTTCGAATTCCGAAAACGGAGAACGTGTCACGGGACAGGACATATTGCGATGCATGGTGATGGCGTATTTACACACGGTCAACTGCCGCTTTCGGTAGACTACTTCCCCTTGCCAAAGGATATTTAAAATAACTTATGAAACAACCTTTCTACGCGGGTGAAAAATATTAGGAGTGAGTCGCTTCGTTCCTTATTTATTACCCGGAAATTGTTCAATTGGATGTCGGGTCGGAACATTATGACAGCTCTTGGTGGCGTTCGAACCTTTCATAATAATAAATACTAAGAATTAAATTTTTATTGAATTGATATTCAATTATTTTTTGTGAAATTAATCCACTAGTTTGTTATAATTATTAATACAAAGATCGAACATTCAGAAAAAATTCTTTCGATCCGGTCGGATTCGAACCGACGTCTTCTTGCATACCGTGCCAGACGCTATACCAACTAAGCCACGGAACGAACCAACGGACCTCACGAATTTTTCTATGTGCTTGCGTCGTGTCTTTGTACTTCGTTTTTCAACGACTTTTTAGTCGTAGCGCCATCTATGAGAAATCTATTGCAGATTTATCACCCAGTTAGTACCTTTACAGCTACCAGTCCTGGCGAGAGATGTCGCTATTCACTGTATTAATTAAATTTTTATTGAATTTATATTCAATTATTTTTTGTGAAATTACTCCACTAGTTTGTTATAATTATTAATACAAAGATCTCTCAAAGCTGTCAAAGTTTCTCATTGATGGCGCTACGACTAAAAAGTCGTTGAAAAACGAAGTACAAAGACACGACGCAAGCACATAGAAAAATTCGTGAGGTCCGTTGGTTCGTTCCGTGGCTTAGTTGGTATAGCGTCTGGCACGGTATGTAAGAAGACGTCGGTTCGAATCCGACCGGATCGAAGGAATTTGATCTGAGTGTTTTTTCTGAATGTTCGATCTTTGTATTAATAATTAAATAATAAGAATACAAATTATTTCTTTTGTGTGTACAACAGGTTACAAATAGTAAAAATAAAATTCTTAATTATAAATCAGAATTACTCCTATAATATGAGCTTCCAACCTCTAAACTAGGTGAAAGACTTGTCTGTATCTATTTCATATACAGGGTGTCTCACGGCTACGCCACATAGAGGGAAAGTACTATAAATACTATTAATAGAACATTTTACTGAAAGAAGACTTCATTTTGATTTTAAAAACAATTCAAACTGCGTTCAAAGATTTTTAAATAATCGCTTCTCTGAACCGGGAATCGAACCCGCAAAATGTGAAAAAAAACCACCTGTAATTTTATTATACTGATCGAAAGACTCAATCATAAGGATTGTTTTCTTCTAAATAACATAACATCTTAAATAAAAGGAAGACTATGAAATTTCACTTTAATTTGAAATTTTGTTCAGTTTGTCAGTTCAAATGGACAACTTTTTCTCTGACTATGCCGCGCTCATAACAACATACATTATCATTTCAAAGTATTACTAATGAGTGCAAACTTGAGAAATACATATCATTTCCCTATTATAAGAGCATGATAAAATAATAACGAAATTCACAAAGAAGTTCACAATCACAAAGCGGCTGGCATAAAATAATAATTTGAAAATGTGTTCCATTTTCAAACGTCTATGTATTCTTTTGTTTTTTTTAGTGAATCTCTTTTTCGATTTCTTGCATTGCAATTGTTGTGTGAATTTAGTTACCATGGCGTATCAACATAATTTGGATTTAATGGAAGCATACTATATGAACCACAAAAACATATCACTAGCTTTGCAGTGGTACCGCGAACGGTATCCCGATAGAGAAACACCATCTCGATTTATTTTAAAAAGTTTGATGGATAATTTGAAAAAACTCGACATTTTGATTTACTTTGAGGCGAACCCGAAGAATTCAGTGAGGGAAGGTGAAGAAGAAATTGGAATTTCAAAAAGCAAAATACACCGCATATTGAAAAAATACAAATTCAAGAGTTATGTTGAAGGGCGATTACTTCAAAAATTACGCCCGGGTGATGCCGAAAGACGACTTATTTTCTGCCACCAAATCGAGAGGCTCTTCCGTCAGAATCAAAATTTCCTGACTGACATTATTTGGTCAGACGAGTCAAACTTCAGTAACAATGGTATGTACAACCGGCGTAATAATCGTATTTGGTCCAGACAGAATCCCTTACGAATCCGCGAGGCTAATGATCAAGTGCGTTTTTCATTCAACTGTTGGTGTGGGATTGTGAAAAACCGGGTTCTCTTAATACATTTTTACGAAGGGCATCTGAACACTGAAAAATATTTAGAAATACTTGAGATTTTAAGGAGCGAGATTAATAATCTTCCCGATGCAGGACGACGAAGTCTCATTCTTCAGCAAGATGGGGCTCCGGTTCATAATAGTCGGAGAACAGCGGACTTTATTAATGAACATTTTCCTTCCTGGATCGGTACTCATGGACAAATTAAATGGCCTCCGAGATCCCCGGATCTAACCCCGTTAGATTTTTATTTATGGGGATATGTAAAAGATTTAGTTTACAGGAACCGGTATATGAGTGTGCAGGAGCTACAAACTGAACTTAGACGTATTATTTTAAACATTCACCATGAAAAGATAAATAAATCAACAGGAAGCGAAATTATGAAAAGAGTGAGAATTGGTATACTACACAATGCGAGACATTTTGAACATTTGATAACTTAAATTGATTGATTGTAAGTTGCAATTAAATGTATCTAATTATTTTAATTAAATTTCAATTTCATGGTCTTCCTTTTATTTAAGATGTTATGTTATTTAGAAGAAAACAATCCTTATGATAGAAGCTTTCGATCAGTATAACAAATTACAGGTGGTTTTTTTTTTTCACATTTTGCGGGTTCGATTCCCGGTTCAGACAAGCGATTATTTAAAAATCTTTTAATGCAGTTCGAATTGTTTTTAAAATCAAAATGAAGTCTTCTTTCAGAGTAAAATGTTCTATCAATGGTATTTAAGGTACTTTCCCCCCATGTGGCATAGCCGTGGGACACCCTGTATACATATATGTACTCGTATGTATGTTACAGTCAAATCACAAAAATCAACTACTACTAATTTATATACTAAAGGACATTAAACGAAAAAAATATTTTTACAAAAGGTGTTTAGTATTTTTTTCCATACCCACATAAGCACCGCAAACAAAAGTTGTAAACAGCTTCATTTTTATTTTCAATAGTTTTAACCGATGAAAGTCAAGGTACGCTACTTAACAAACTAACAGTTTTGAATGTGGAACATAGCGTTGAAGCTGTTGGGTAATAATGATAAAAATAAAGATGATTCTAAAGAATACGAACTTTGGGTACAATAGTATTCAAGGTTTTTGGACCTATTTCCTTTTGTATCACATTTCAAATGCATATTCTGAGGCAATATAAGCATATTTTTTTTTATAATATCAAGTGACGGGACGAACAAGTCGTGCGTCTGATGATAAGCTACACGCCTGTCCATAACAGTTGCAATGCCACTCAGAACTTAAAATTGCAAAGATCTGAGTGGCACTGCCGCTGCGCCCGTCACCCTCGCGATTCAAAACCAGAACACAGTAATGCTGACATTACTGCTTGACAGCAGAAATAGGTAAGGTGGCAGTACTTCCCTGGACGAACTCTTTCGCAAGGATATCTACTGCTAGTGAAAAGGGCAGTAAAATATTTATTCAATCATCTTTAACCCACAGTGGCCCTCCGCTGCAAAGAACATCAATGCCTACATGGCTACAGCTATGAGACGTTTTACAAACTGGATGCCGAAGCCCGCAAGCCTCAAACCCCAGGTGCTGTCTTCGAAATGCATTTGGCAATACTAGCTTCAAGCAATGGACACATTTTACTGTCTACACTGCCTTTTCCAGACCCCAACGATCCCGTTTATGAAATTGGTAAGAAATATCATAAATGTAATAATAATTTTTGATATCACCGTAGGTGTAATAATGCCTAAGAACTGTTGAACTATTGATATCAAAGAAATGTGATATTCAAAGAACTGTTATTGACATCGGCGTAAATATTATAATAGTCTATATAAAAATTGTTTTTGATGTTATCGTAAATGAAACAATAGCCTAAGAGTTGTTTTTGATATCGTCATAAAGTGTGTAAGAAGCTTCAAAACAGTTTTTGATACCATCGTTAGTGCAACAATCCTCGAAGGCCTACCCACTATGGATCCCGTTAGGATTCTCCACTCACCCCAGTGGTCAGACCCTTTACTCGGCGACGGCGCTTCTTCGTGTAACGGAAGATGTCCGAGTACATGTGTTTCCTCCGAACAGCATGATCGTGCAATGTATAAGAGTGGCCAAGTCAAACGCAGTGGTACCTGTACCACACTAAAGTGTTTTCTATACAGACTCAAAACCCTAGCACGAAAATAAAGATATAGTAGATAGTTTATTAGTTAGTAGTTTAGATATAGTAGAAGCCGTGGTAGTCTAATGGTTTGACCTACTGCCTCTCAAGCAGAAGGTCGTAGGTTCGAATCCGGACTAGCACCTCTGAGTTTCTCGGAATTTATGTGCGAAATTTAATTTGAAATTTATCATGAGCTTTTCGGTGAAGGAAAATATCGTGATGAAACCTGCTCGTCGAAGAAGGTTCACAACTCTCGGAAAACGCGTGAAGTCCCCAACCCGCATTGGGCCATCGTGGCGGACTATGACCTAAACCCTCGTCTGAAAGGAGACCCGTGCCCAGCAGTGGGACGTATAAATGGGTTGATGATGATGATGATATAGTAGTTAGTGTAGTGTAGATTCTTTCCTCGTATTGGGCTATCATGGTGGATGGGTTAAACCATGTCCTTTGTCAGTGAGATATCGTTTGGTAAATAAATATGCTCTTATAAAATGAGATTTAAAAAATCAAAATGATCTCTCTTGAAAAACGCAGAGATCTATTGGGCCTAGCCTTCCTTCACAAGTTATTTACTAACAAGATTGACTGCCCACAACTGACATCAAAGTTCAAAATAAGCGTTCCCCATCGATACCCCCGTAAAAAGATCGCTGCTCTTCTGTCACCACCACATAGCGGAACTAAATTGGGTCTCAACTCACCGGTCAGCCATCTGTCCAAACTACACAATGAGTATAGTACACCAGTAGATATTTTCTCGAACTGGACAACCGGTCTCCGCAAGGCAATCCTTAGCAAGTAAACTAGAAGTATTTTTAGCATTAATTGCAAAAAATTATACAACCTTTACATTAACAATGTATATTTTTATTCTGATTATCGTATTTTATCGTTATATTCAGTTTGTTCTCTTTTTCTTTGTATATTATATACACTGTAATATTAAGACTATTCTGCTCAATTTAATGCAAGCTGTGTCGTCTTTAAATAGTTGTGCATATAACTAAACACCAATACAAAATGTATATGTATCGATATAACAATTGCTGGTGAACCTCAATAAAAAAATAAAATAAATAAATAGACAGCCTTCCGTAATGAGAAATGGCCATGTGTCTTGACGCACATCATTAATAAATCTTTTGTAATCAATTATGTTGTAATGTTTAATTTAATTACATTTTTAATTTCGCAGTTTGTTTCTTTAACAGATACATCATGTTTTTGCATATCTTTGTTGTGATATGTCATATCAGAATGGTTTTCTTTTTTTTTTGTTTATTCTCAAATCTTTTTTGTTTTTTGTATAGGAGAGATTGTTGACAAACATAAGAAGCTTATGTAAACAAATGTTTTACATTGATTTTTTTTGTAACAAGCATTAACATCATTTATTCGTCGCAGTGGTGGGGGGAGGCGGCAATAAATTTACGGAACTCCGGCGCAACTTACGTCGAAATGCTAAGACTTCGGCGAAAACCACCGGGATATTGTCTGCAGTTGATTTCCGGGCGTTCTACATCAGAATATCGGAAGGTACAATATATGTATATACAATATATGTACACCATCACGCGTACAACCTCTATTTTATTATTCTATAGGCCTGTGTCCATAAGGTCCACTGAAAACCAGCGTCAAAGCCTAATCTCGGCTAAATAGCTGAGAGAATAATTTTGCATACGCCACAGCCGCACACATGACAGTTTTCTTCGTAATTTTTTTATTTTATTTTTGTTATGCTTTTGTGTTTTTTTATTCTTTCTTTCTGTGTATTTTGGTTTGTAATAAATGGTTTCTATTCTATAACACTCGTGATATACTAAGTTATAATTCATAACCTAGGGCTTTAAAAACATTTCGGTATTCTGCAAATGGTTTAGTTTGGTAGTGTGGACGTTTGTGAACACAGTTTGCATTTTAAGCACGGTGAGATCCTTCATCTAAAGAATCTTAGCTACATATCGCATTTAACACGTAATGTATGTTTTGAAAAGCAGATACCTTTTTAGACAGTTTCCTATCTAACATCCAAAATCTACAGTAATTGAAGTTCCCAGTAACAAATCCGTAAGTGACACGAGCTAAGTAATCTATCAAAGTTCCTCGTTCTTCTTCAAAGCGTTTTGTATAAGAGCACCATCCTCACCAAGCAGTAACATGAGCACTGCTGCCTTCCATTTTTGAAGAATGCTAGTGAAACTTATGGTACATGGGACTTGTCAACTTCATATCTCAGAGTAAGTAGTAGCAGTGCTTTTCGCGTCATTGCAATTGAAAGCTCTGAGTGGCGCTGCAACTTCTATGGTTAGGTGTGCGTGCGGCACTGCCACTGCGCCCATCACCCTGAGATATAAGTCGACGAGTCCCACGTGCCTGTAATTTCATCAGCACCCTTACCCTTCCAAACTGGAACGCAGTAACGCTCACATTACTGCTTGGCGGCAGAAATAGATAAGATGGCAGTGTTTCTCTGGACGACCTCTTTCACAAGGAGCTCTACTGCGACTATCCTGGGGGTGCTTACCACCAGCCGTCCGCCTTATACGTACTGTGACTAGATACTCAAAAAAAGTATATGAGTAGTATTCAAATTGGTATTTACAAAAGTGGCAGTTTGTATAATTGATTATACATGTTGTGTAATTTCAACCTAGAAACTTGTAATATTTCTGTATTTAGGAAATGAAACTATTTTTCCGGATTTAAATCGCGTATATTTGTTTTTTTCAAACATACCAACGTTTCGGGGACCTTTACAGGTCTATATATAGATATACGCAATTTGAATCCAGAAAAATAGTTTAATTTCCTATGTGCAACAATCGCGAAAACCTAAGAACTCGATATATTTTTGTACTATTTACATTATGTTTTTTATCTAGATGGTCTAATAGACTTCGGCAAAGAAGGCTCGCAAGTCTCGATACTGTCATATTACGACGTCAATCCATTGCCAATTAACTACTTCAGTTTCGCCGCATGGAACGGCGTCGAAGCCAAATTCTTGTACGACTGCCCTGATCCAGTTGCAGGTAAAAACCATTCTTATTCTCCACTGGGAACATTCGTAAATAATTTACGAAAAAAATATATCCTTTCTAAGTATTTTCAAATAAAAGTAAAGGGAATTTTTTTTGTCGCTAAAAGTCTCAAAATCCCCTTCAAAGTGGGAGATCAGATAGGGGAAAATCCGACTTATTTATTAGTCACTTTGCGCATCTATTTTTTCCTGTTCCCCCAATGTAAACAGGGTTTCCTTGTTTGCTTCAAATACAATTTATTACTTCGACTACAATATGCAGCTACATGAATTGTTTCTTTTTTCTTAGCCACTACTGAAACTTCCCCGGACTCAACTGCTGTGGAACGAAAGCTATCAAATTCGGAATCACTAAAACGCACCCTCCTTGTGGGCCGATCTTCTTACCTACCACCGGAAGGTTCTTCCGTCGTGGTCAAGATTGGTATTAAAATAACTAACATAAAATACAATGCTGTTGATTCTAAGTTATCCCTTGGATTGGCCATCATTTCAGTAAGTATCTGTACCTTCCACATTTCCAGTTTACATTTTTTTATAATTTTTATTTTTATTTAAATACAATCATCCAGTTTTTTTCCTATTGCAACACATATGACGAGCATTGGACGGCCTCCGTGGTCGACTTGCACTCCGGTTTCCATGATGTCGCCATCTCTGAGGTCCCGGGTTCGATCCCCGGGCGGGTCAGTGCAGAAAACTAACTTTTCTATATTGTGTAGGGTCTGGGTGTTTATGGTACTGTTGTCGTTTCCGATTTCCATAACAACAGTGCTTTATCTACTTACCTTGGGAATCGAGCAACGTATGTGACGTTGTCTAATATTTACGTATTTATTTATTTACATAGGTTGATTACTAAACATTTCATCCTCATTTCTTCCATGATTATTCCTATTGAATTTGCATTTTTTAGGAACAATTTTTATTATCGAGTTCTTAGATTTTTTTCCTTCAATTTCATTTCAGTCAGCCGTGACTATTGGACGCGTAAAGAACCCGAAACGGTAGTTTGTTTAAAAAACAATATAATTACGCGAATTTGGATCCGAAAAATAAGTGAACACAAATATCTACTATTACATACTAAATGTAATATAATAATAACTAATAATAATATAATAACTAATTATACCTATTCAACCCAAACGTAAGAAAATAAGTATCTGCTATTACATAGTAAGTGTATCATGATAATAATTATATCTATCTTAAATTGAAATCATCTTTATTTCATAGGTAAGCAAATTACACTTGAAACCGTCATATTATAGGAAGTGAAACTATTTTTCCGGATTTAAATCGCGTATATTTGTTTTTTCAGTTTGGTCCTTTACAGGACCCATGTCCACCGTAACCATGGGACCTGTAAAGGACCCGAAACGTTGGTTTGTTTGAAAATGCGAAACAAATATACGAGAAATCCGGAAAAATAGTTTCATTTCCTATGTGTAACAATCGCGAAAACCTAAGAACTCGCTATCATCATATTAATTAAACTCTACTGCTCATTCGTAAGGCAGAGTCCTCTGAGGAGATCATTCTTCTACAAGAAAGTCTAGGGGTTGCTCTTTTAAAATGACTATGACATATGAATAAATTTAAAAAATATAAATTTAAATAAATATTTACAAAATTTATTTCAATCATCTTTCTTATCATCTAAGTACGCAGAAGCTATATAATAACCTTTAGTCTTATAAAGTTTTTATTCCACTATAGTTTTAAACCTCGTAAATGGCAAACTTTGAATGTCAATCGGAATCTTATCATAGAAGCTTATACATTGCCCCTTAAATGAATTCGTAACTTTGGTAAGACGACTGTCAAGAAAAGCTAGTTTATTTTTTTTCTCAAAGACACTCTGGTGCCCAGATTGTAAATTGCCCTAACCTCACGTTTCTGCAGATCAAAGATTCTATTAATATCGGCGGCATTACCCCAAAGCAAAATGCCGTATGTCATTTAACTGTGAAAGTAGCTGAAGTAAATCAACTAGCTGTTTCGACGTCTAAAAGTTTTCGTACTTTTTAAATCGCGTACACTGCAGAGCTGAGTCGCTTCGATAACTTACTTATATGCGGAGCCCATTGAAATTTAGCATTTAAAGTTATACCTAGAAATACAACTGTATCTACAAGGTTCAATTTTTCGTTTCTAAATATAATGTTCGTGTCCGTCTGCCTAACATTGGGTAATGTAAATTTCACTCTATTTGGATTTTTCTCATAAAGGAGCAGTTTATTAACTGCAAACCAATCTAATACATTAGATATAGCATTGTTTCGATCGTTGTAGGAACAACATTACTGCCTTTTAACTAAAATAATATGGAAGTATCAGCAGCAAACAATACTATCTTTATGTTCTATACCTTCTACGAGGCTAGATAAATCATTAATATGAACTAAAAATAAAAATGGACCTAGAATTGAACCTTCAGAGACGCCCATGCTAATTGCAGACCTTGATGATCTCGTACCGTTGACATCGACCCTCTGTATCCTTCTGTAAGGGACAGTTTGCGCTGCAAATTTATATTAGTAGGTAACTGTAGTTAGAATATTTTTATTTATTTATTCTTTAAACGAACGCCAAATATGATTGGGCTTTTCATAATTAGATTATCATAAAGTTCACAGAGTGTAAAAGTGGCGCCATAATAAACACTTATTTATAAAATCATCTCTTCAGAGTTGGACTGACAACCGAATGGCTTGGGAACCCAAGAAGTTTAATAACACCACCAGCCTCACGTTCCGACAGGGGCAAATATGGAGACCTACATTCTTCAATTTTAAGTAAGACATTTGAAAAGTATGACCATAATGTAATAAGACAAGTAGGGCTAACTCCTGACTGTGTTGTCACATTATTATTTTAACTATACCTACAACTTGTAAACATGATTTCAATAATTAAGGTTTTTATCACATTATTCTCAAGGTTCATTCGACTGATCTTTGGAAAAACGCAGTATTAACGTATTCTTATGTTTATACCAGTATCACAGGTTGTATCTCGATTATGGGCGTATGATTATAAAATAGAAATTAATTCAAAAGAACAATTCTTAATTTTTAGTCAGTCTTGTTCAAATCACCCAAAACACAACAATAAACACCCCTACGAACGCTTCGATTCTATAATGAATGGTGCGTTGTTCTATGCAACCATCGAGTATATAACCAGAAATAGAGACGAAATAAGGGCCATATATTCCTGGTAACACATTAGCGATACAGCTCTTATAAATATCAACTCTCGTTTGCACTGAAATATAGACAGGCCAACTACTGGCCTGTGTGTACGTCTCCGTATATTCCAAAAAATATTCTGTATTTATTATAATACTAACAATGCCGTGCCGTTGTAACTAATTTATATTGACAAGTTGCAATTTATCAAAGCTACTCCTTTAGAAAGCTGAAATAGTACAGCGTCAACAACAGACCTGTGTGTACGTCTCCGTATATTCCAAAAATATTCTGTATTTATTGTAATAAGATAATATCTCTAACAATGGGGGGCTGTTCCATTCGGTGGTGTGGGAAAAACAGCAAAACATCTAATTACAAAACAAACGGAATCATATTTCATCGGTAATTAAATATTAAATATGTAATTTTGCAATTTTCGTCCTTTATATCAAGGCTCAAGTTAACTGATCGATTTGAAGTGAAACAGTGACGACGCCCATTGAAGACACCCGTCAATTGTTTCGAACTCTGGCTAGCCAATAATGATATGACAGACTAGTTTTCAAACAAATTAAATGACATTTCGTCTCTATTTATGGTTACGGCGTACGCATACAAACCGCACGGCGACGTTTGTATGGAGTTACCCTACTTGTTTAATGATCAGTGATCGGAAATGAGGGAGTTAAATAACCTAGCATTTGAGTAAGAATAATGTGGATATTCCTTCCCTTCCCTTCTACAAATCTCAGAACTTATTTGAATATGCGTATTATTTATTGGAATTTGAGTACATTGGTGACAAATTATTATTTTCTTTTGAATATTTGCTACAAATTGTCTCAAAAAATAATATTGTGGTTGCTACACGTATGGAAACTATACGTGCGTACTTACTCAGCAAAAAGATTTACAAAAGTGCTTAGCGTGCAAAGAAGTTTAGAGGCTTTCTCCTTTTGAGAGAAGAATTACTTTACTATAAATCATTATGTATAAACATTGTAATTATTTTAATGAATACATACCTACAAACATATATATATACGTATATTCATTTTATTCGTCGTCAAAATTTTTAAAGTATTGATAACGTAATATAAATCCCGGGATTATTTTGTGATCATATCAGGAAATGAGTATGTCCATAATAAGAAAACGTTCAAACTTCAGGTAAATTAGCCCCTCAATACCGATCACTGCTAATGATACTATGGTATGATCAAGTTATTTATACTATTTGTTGATGTATCTACTATGTTGTATCTATTTTTTCATTATGCAGCATTTGAATAATTACTGAAACGTAGTGTTTTTTTCAACCGTCTTGTTAAGAAGAAGACATTTTGATTGTGAGACACTTTTCTTTCAATTTCCGATGTCATAAAAAATTTCAGTTCAGAAGATATATCAATATTGGATTCGAAAAATCCGGAATTGATTTCAATGGCGTCCAGTGGCGAAGCGACTTTCCATTTCCGGACTGTGGTCAACACATGGTGCCATACTGGTACGGGACAGCAGAAAAATAAGAATACGTATGTTTTTCATATATTTTACTATTTCTAGTATAACATTGGGGTGCCCAAATAATATATTTACAAAAAACGTAATTTTTATGTAGACTTTAGTAAAATAGACTGACGGATGTTTTTTTAAAGCACACTCTCATATATTCTCATGAGCCAAATAAATGTAGGCTATACAAATATTTCTCCCGGCCCGAGAATGGAACCAGGGACCTCTCCGTGGCAGTCGGTCACGCAGTTACGATCACGCAGGCAGTTAAGGTTAAGCCACGATGTTATGCGTTAGGGCCCAGGTTCTATTAACCGGTACGACCAATAAAAAAAATCTAAATTATTACGTGGCTGTGAGTTGTAGCGTATGTCCCGGACTTTGGTCCTTTTAGTGTTGGGAATTCCCTAATTTGAGACCATTATTATTAAAGTGAATGCAGCCACTCACAAACTGGCACCGGCAAAACAAAACATATATATCGTCGATATGCCTTGTTCCGCTCTCATTATATAATGTTCTTAGTATATGTATATGATCGAAGTAGTGGACACTAAAAGTAAAAAAATACTCATCATTAAAGCGATATTCGTTTTTTCAAAAAAACCAACGTTTCATACCCTTTACTGGTTCCGTGGTTACCCTTTACAGGTTCCGTCGAGCCGTGGCCATGGGACTTGTAAGGACTCGAAAAGTTGGTTTGTTTGAAAAACAAATACAGTGTGTTGATTTTCATTCATGCATTCTCGCCATATTTAACAAATTAATTAATTAAATAATGCTAAATCGTCTAAAAATATTTAAAAAATATTCTGGCTAATTTTATCTAGTAAAGTTTTGTAATATTGTCCACAAGCGTATATTTATATTGGTTAGAAAAGTTGACTGAAAAAAGATTTTTTGTAACTTAGATTTGGTACTTACCAACTTTATGTTAGATGAAAGTATTGCTAGAAGTACCCAGCTCCACAGCTGGTGCCTGGTTCCCCAGCCACAGATATGCAGAGTTTCGTTTCAAATTAGCACATTCTTCACAACAAAAAAAGCAGAAAGAAACCAGAGACAATTTTTGGGCGCAATTCTTTGATACTCATAATCTGCGTAAACTAAATGTTTTACATCATGCCATAAGAATGCACTTGATGGTAATGCAGGATCTGGTGAACATGGTAGGGTTTTTTTTGCACTTACTCGTGCTTTGCATTTCGTGAGAAACTAGAACGTATGCGCGATGTCCGCGGAACGTAGACGCGATACGCAAGGTCGACTGATGATCTACCAATCACGCGCTCGATACGATACTTCCCCGTCTCTACCCGTACCCTACCACCAAATAGATCTAAAATGCATATTTTCTGCGAATAGGTCATTGTTCAAATGGTTGCCGGTACCTGTGGCAAGAGTAGTACAAGTCAATGACCTTTGGACCAAGGATGGTTACCGCAATTAAACAAAAAATAAGAATTTAGGATTTATTTTTTTCGATTTATTTTTTTAGTGATTTGGGTTCAATTTCGAATATAGTATGACCTTTATAAATATGGCGAGAATGTAAATAAACACATTGTATTTCCAATTTAGATCCGGAAAATAGTTTCAATTTCAATATGTAACAATCTCGTAAACCTAAAACTCGTATATCCTAATCATCCTAAGGGCGCGTTCTCATTATGTTTAACGTTTTATTTGTCGTTGGACGACTATCGTGTCTAGCTGTTCCCACTAGGTCGTGCCGACAATTTATCGATTCACGGCAGCCGCCTTATCGTTTGCACGACAGACTTGTTTGAAGCTGCGATTATCTGACGTCATACTTTTATCGTGACGTTTTATTTATTGTCTGACAACTGTCGTTCTAGCTCTTCACATTGTCACAATAGTGGGTCGTCGTAACGTCAAAAAAGTCGTGAACGACAGTTAATCCTGTAGTTCTATGTGAACAACTTCATTTAAATATACAAGCCACGACACTTTAAACTGCACGACTATCTATCGCCCCAGCATAATGGAATCGCGCCCCTAGTCAGATAAAACTTTTATTGTATTTTTTTGCTTTTTCTAGTCTTATCTGACTATTATTTCTTAAAACCATTGAGCGTCTCTTCAACTCCGTTAGTTGCTTTTGTTACTATTCCCATTATAACTTTGGTAAGATTTAACAATTTTATCGCTGGGAACTTTGTTTTCAGCTGGCCACACGATGAATACTCATGTACCATTTTAATTGGAGCCTGGGAGCCCCATGAGATGATCACATTAGAAGCTCTTAACACGACAGATCCGAAAATGATGCTCGTAAGTAAAATCATGATAATACTTTTATGTTTACACTTTGTTGTTTATTAAAGAATGGTCTAAAGAAATTGTGGAGCTAGAGTACTTGAGTGGTTTTAAACCCAAAAACAATAGCTTCAATGTGCATTTTTAAGCAGCAACAAGCTTTTTATGCTGCGTGGTATTCAATATTCTTATCGTCAAGACGTCAATCCAGATTAAATTTAGACAATCATTATATAAATTCGCACCCTTGGTGCAATAAGGAAACATATGCAAAACAACTTACAAAAGTGAGGTTTAAAGATACGGACGAAATTCTGCGCTTCTTATCGCAACTTGTAGCAGTAGATCTCCTTGTGAAACAGTTCGTCCAGGGAATTCCTGCCATCTTACCTATTTCTGCCGCAAAGCAGTAATGTGAGCATTACTGCTTTTATTTATTACACACAAATAAGGCATACAAGAAAACATAATACAATTTCTCACCAAACTGCGAAAACAGTTTGTTGGCGAGGTTACACTTACAATTACAAAACTATAGTATAACATTATACGAGTACATTTATCAAACCCAGTGTAACTAAATTTACATACCTTCAAAAAGTATAAATTTTCATTTTTTCTTCAAGGTGAATTTACTTATCAATTCTCTGTCTGTCAAAACGTACACAGGTCAGTTGTTGGTGCTGTACTATTTCAGTATTCTAATATTGCGATTTCACCGCAAACGAGGGTTGATATTTAAAAGTGATATAAGGCCAATTTACCTGATGCGTTGTCAGGGATGGATGGCCCTTATTTCGTCTCTATTTCTGGTTATATACATATTCAACCTATTCACGCTAATGCGTGAAGGTTTATTTTTATAAATAGCACCTAAATTTTATAAGGAGCAATCATTTTAAAGGTTGACTTTGCTATGCTCTAATTTGAAGCGTTCTTCTCTCAAATCAATATACTTTAAGCGGTGAGCACCGATTTTTATTATCTCCTGTGTTAAGTCCAGTATAGTGACGAACTAGGGAATGAATCCGGGTTTGCGCACTTACCGGTAACCGATTTCAATAAAACTTGGCAAATAGATGCAATTCCACGAACTCTCGAGATCGGTTTTTTATTACTCTGTACTGAGATTATTATGCTTATAAAGGAGAGTTATAAAACTAAAATCATATAATTATACACGATTTGTTTAATTTAGTTAGTGTTTAGTATCATGTGACAAAATCACTTTTGACGTATGATTTATTTATTTATTTGTTTATTTATTTATTAGCAACACTAGTATTACTTTAGGGAGTTTAGACCCCTTCCCGCCACGCTACCGCTGGTCCAATGCGTGTTGGCGGATCGCCAGAATCTAGTCGATAGGAGCAGAGTGTACCGCATGCAAGTGAGGTTGGCTATTGAGCACCGCAGGTGGTGGTGGTGGTGTCTTACATCGCGATCAACTGCCTCCGTGGCCGAACGGTTACCATGCCGGACTGCCACGCAGAGGTTCCAGGTTCGATTCCCGGGCCGGGAGAAATATTTGTATGGCCTACATTTATTTCTCTCGTGAGTTTGGGTGTAATTTGTGGTTGTCTGTGTGAGTGTCCATGGCACCCGCGACACAGGGTTTCCCTAGTGCGGGGCTATGTTGATTGTGAGCGTTGTGAGCGTTGTTGTGATCGACTAGTTTGGAAATTTTTGAGGGAGACCTATGTTCAGCAGTGGACGTCTTCTGGCTGATATGATGATGACTAACATTATGTTCACAACACATTTTTATCTTATTAGACTCGGGTGTTCTACATTCTAAACAGCAATTATAAGTGTTAAACGGCAAACCTAAAATAACAAGCAAACTATATTAAACATTTCGACAATTTAACATGCACAGATAACTTAAATTAGATAGCAATGCATGATCACATGTGGCGATATTATATCAAGCGTAGGAATTCACAGTAAACTTGCAGTTTGCAGGTATGGACGACGTGATACAAAGTGAATGGGAGAAGACCATCAAAGTGGTGATAGTCTCCAATGATATATGGAGTATTGTGTTCGGCGACAGTGACAACACTACTCACCAAAGTGATCGTCTTTTGATCTCTATACAGATGAGAAGAACGGCAACTACTTATAATATTGTTTTCTATACTCCTTTGTTAGGTACGAGTCGTAACAGAAAAGTTTACATTATGTATAGAAGCTAAACCGATCTTGCACTCAGAAAAAAAAATTGATATTCAACAATAACACTTTATTCGCTGAGAGTCTATAAAGAAATTTAGTTCATCTTTTTCTGTAAAAATACTCCTCTACTTTGTTATTTTTATTGATACAAAGATCGAGCAAATAAATACAAAGAAAAATTCCTTCGATTCGACCGATTAAATCAGGTATGAATAAAGAACAGCTTATTGTGCAGCATTTATTCCCACTCTGTCAGCCATTTTTTCTGAGTGTATACAATTAGGAAACCCATAGAGTTACCCTACTGGTCACGACTATATTTAAGTGTTTTGTACTCTAATATTAGGGACTTCGCAAGCAGAAAGACAAGAAGAGGTCGAACGTGTGTCTTTGTGGTTGTTGGAGCCATTATAGACAACACCACGAGGGGTTGCTTTGTCACTAATGGAAGAGAAATATTAATAATAATAGGCTAGTTTTCCACCCCTAAGTTGTGCTACGCCATTTATATGGAGTACGGCATTGGGGTAGTCCTGGCTGCTGGCTTGTTCCTTGAACGCTACAACTTGAACTTTTCTAAGGCGAGAGTGAATAGACATTATACATATGGGTGTGCATATTCCATCTTCACTTTCCATCAGGTGAGACGGAGGCCAAATGCGCACTTATTCTTATAATAAAAATAATAACAATCTAAATAGTTAATGATTCGAAAAGATTAAGTTGTACAAGTCTCTTGAAGTCAGACACATACCCCTTATACAGAAAGCATTCTCCCAACTGACATATCAAAGCCTTGATTTGAAACCTAAACTTGGGTACTTTTTTGATATACATAATGTAATAATTTTCACGCAAATTTCAGTCTTGGTAACCTTCGTATTAATGTCGTTCTGGACGGAGCCGTTGCAACTCTCCCGGATATGGTTCTTTGCAGGATGTGTCATTGTCATTTGCATGGGATTGTGTTACGTCGATTACTTGGTACCTTCACATAATGTGCCTTCTCTACGTAAGTACTTGAAAGTGTATTCCTTTAGAATTTCCCTTTCCAAAATGCACAAAGAAAAAACTAGGCGTTTTGAAAGTTAGTCTAGAATCCCAAAATTTTACAACTAAATTTCAAAATAACAAAGATCTGTAAATACTAGCACTAACCTCTTATAATTCATAATCAACATTGAGCAAAGTCCGGACTGTTCATTTCCATCTCTCTTTTTTTTTCTCCCATTGATTACTATCGGGGGACTCTATATTTCAGACCAGCCACGTCACTATATTGTGAATATTACCAGGATTCGCACAGTGTTTCACTTCCACATTTATGTGGAGAGCGGCTAGAGAGTGGAATTCCCTGCCTGCGAATTTATTACCCGAACGCTATAACTTGGACCTTAGACTTTCAAGGCGAGAGTGAATAGTCATTATTTAGGTGTGCATGATACATCGTCGACCTCATCGTCACTTTCCATCAGGCACTTATTTTTTATTAAAATACCATCGTTTTACAAAATTGGTAACTTACAAAAACACCTCAACTGCAAGTAATAGATATCTCGTGCAAACTTATCAAACTTAACAAGAAGTTGACCAACTAAGTAAATAAAGCTTGTTTTGTTTCAGTCATCCTCTATACCACAATCCTAATGGGTATACTATTGGCTCTTCTAATCCATGTGGCTCTGATGACAGACACAGCGCAGAAACTTTGCAAGACTGCGTCAGTGCAGTCTGTGCTTACTGCTAAATGGTTTAGAACTCTATTCTGCTTGCCAACAATGAAGGTATGACGACCAAGTTTTGTTAGTTATTATAATTTATAAACAGGCGTTTATAAATTATATAGATAAATTAGATCAAAACTATTTAAGAAATGATAGTTTCTGAATTAATTCAGAAACTGTCATTTCTTAATGCTTTGTGAAGTCCCAATGAAATTCGTTACTCCGGTACTCGTGATACAACGAACTCTCTTTCCGTGATTTGGTACAGCCAAATTATGTATTGATATAAATGAACGTTTCGCGTACCTTGATACGAACGTAGCAGCGAGGCTTGTGTGCATGTCTACCGCGCGCTGTTTACAGACTCACACATTCGCATAATCTCGCGGTGCACTCGCGTTACGTAGAGCGGGTCGTAGGATCATTCATTATATAATTGAAGCGGTCGTTTGGTGTTTAAAAACGACATCAAATAGTAGACGTGTTTATTGTTGTGTTTGTGGTGGTTTAAACAAGAGTGCCTAAAATCCAGAATTAATAAAATATTCAAGATATCAATCCTTGACGCTGATATAAAAAATTACTACGTTAGTACCTACTGCATTTAACAAAGGTTATTTCAATATAGCACGAGTATAGGTACTGTGATGAACACCTTGATAGTTTCAAATTATGCTTACAACATGTAGGTTCAATTAATAATGTAACAACCCTACGCTCCGAGTGAAGCGTAGACCCAACAGAAGGGAGTTGCCCTACTTGATCTTATTATACTATGGTTAAATCATGCAAAGAAAAAAATACTCAATACAAACGCAGATATTTTTCACAATTTAATCATCACAAGGTTCGCTGAGTAGCTAGTAAAGTAATTTACTTCCATTTTTACTAATATGGATTTCCAAATTCTTAATCTATTCATATAAATTTTCATATCACTGGAGCTGTGAAAGATTCCTCCTGGGAAGTATTGCCTCCTTAACTATTTCTGCCGCCAAGCAGTAATGTGAGCATTATCGGTTTTAAAGGGTAATTAATGGTGATGGTGAAATTACGGACATATGGGACTTTTCAACTTCTGTCTTAGGGTGTCGGACGCAATGGCAGTGCCCCTCAGATATTTGCGATTTACAGCTCTGACCGACCCTATAACTATTATGAACAGGAGTGTAACTTACATAAGCACTTGTTCTTCTCATCTCTTGGTATCATAAAAAAATCGGATTACATGTAATTGTGTGGCAAATTAATATTTATTACTTTCTAATTAACAATAGCTATACGACTGATGAGCAAAGACCTCTCTCATACTTTTCCACTTGTCCTCTTTTCGCGCCTTGGGACACTCTTGGGTAAATACTCAAATTCGAAGGACAACATCCGAGACCTTCTAGATATAGATTCGGGTGCATGCAGATACAATGCATGCGGCACTTTATTTATATTGTTTTTATTTCCCAGACCTGTAAAATCTACGAATCCATAAACGAAGGCTACGCGTCTCAAGATGACGATGAACCAGCTTTTGTAAGTCCTCCAAATAGCACTATTGAGGAAATGCAATGCGACGTCATTAAATACGGAGAACCACAAGAACTAGCTGAAGTAGTTGATAAAACGATGTTTGTTATCTACTCTGTCACATTTGCTATTATGTTAGCTCTACATTTTTAGCTCCACTATAGAATAGATAATTTAATTCAAGAAATAAAAGATGTGGTAAGTAATAACAAAGAATTTTATTGACTAACGTTAAAATTCAAAACTTCATCATTATTTCAACCAAAAGACGTCCACTGCTGAACATGGGCCTCCTCCAAAGAATGCCACAACTACCTGTCCTGCGCCGCTTGTATCCAGTGGATTTCCGCAGCCTTCACCAGATCGTCAGTCCACCTTGTGTGTAGTCTGCTCACGTTGTATCTTCCGGTACGCGGTCACCACGCGAGAACTCTTCGGCCCCGTCGGCCATCTGTACTGCGGGCAATGTGCCCTGCCCTCTGCCACTTAAATTTAGCAATTTTTTAGGATGGCGGTTAATGTGGTCCCTTGCAGACATCCTCATCACTGATTCGATCTCGCAACGAGACTCCGAGCATAGCCCTTTCCATTATCCTTTGAGTGACCTTGAGCCTTCTTATGAGACCCACAGTGATCAACCACATCTCAATGCCGTAAGTCATCACTGGCAACACACTGGTCGAAGACTTTTGTCTTGAGACACTGTGTGTGTATTCTGATCACCCGATTCAAAACAATGCACTCCAAGAGTCAAAAAACTCATCGTGAGTAAGCTACTCGTAACAACTCGTCGCGACCAAATACAATAGTTTTTCTGTAAGTAGTTGAGTCAGCAGATTATCCTAGTTGCAGTATCAGATCAAAGTTACTATACTATTGTAACGTCATCGGATTTCCATGATATACCAATTTCAAATAGATCGGACAAGTGGAAGTAAAATAAATATTGATTTTGAAGTTGAAATCTCTACACTAACTGAGAAAAGAACTAATGATTTTTAAGCATCTGAACTGATTTTCATCTGAACATGAATGAAATTTGAATGAAATTTATTTGCTTAAAATATGGTTTACAGTAGGTGGTACAAGTATACATAATAAAACAGTACTCATATTTTACCGCTATCGGCATGCAAATCTATGAATGTCAACATATTGGCAGCTAAACAATTCTAAAGCAAGTCCTATCATGCATAAAGATAATATATTATAATAGTAAGTTATTGCCATGTCATGAAGATGTCAAAAAATATAAATACATTTCTTATCAAATAAGTTAAGTGGTCAAATTTATTGAGAATTATATGTAAAGAAGTCACTAATTGAATAGAATTTTTTTTCTCTTAGCCATGACATCAGCTGACGTTTAAATAGAAGATTATTATTTATAATTTTTATATCAGAGGGTAAAGCATTATATATCCTCACACACATGGCCCCGCACTGTTTCTGGTAGTAACTTAGTTTAGTATAACTATTACAAACTAATCTGTGTGGACCCTTACATTTATATTGTGAATATCTCGCGTTATTTTAAAAACTTTATTATTATTTTTTACAAAATTGGATACTTCAAAGATGTACATACAAGGCAGCGGCAAGATGTTAAGATACTTAAATAACGGTCTACAAGATTCTCGGGGCACCACACATTTTTTTTGTGCTGTAAATAATTTACTTACTTCTGTTGAATTTCCCCAAATCATAAGTCCGTATCGCAGTAGGGATGCAACGTAACCATGAAAGGCCTCTAGAGTCGTAGACATAGCGGATTTGTCTCGCAACCTTCTCAAAACATAAACATAACGATGAATATTATTCAGTAATGTTTGAATATGAAGTTTCCACTCGAACTTATCGTCAATAATTACACCTAAAAATTTTGTTTCTTGTACTTGTTGTAGAATATGACCATTGTAATTAATATTCAATTGTAATTTATTGTGTCTGACAATTCCGAACTGAATGAAATTCGTTTTATTAAAGTTGACTGTGAAATTATTGTTGTTGAGCCAATTAACCACTAATGCAATTGTGTTATTTATATCAGATTCCTAATTTACTACAATGTCTTTACATGGTATCATTATAGATATATCATCTGCAAATAATACGCATTTGTGCTGGGTTACGTTAGGCAAGTCCTTGATATAGAGTAGAAATAATACTGGCCCAAGTGTGCTACCTTGAGGCACGCCGCATGCATTTACACGATAAAGTGATTTATTCGAAACCACGTGAAATTTTCTATCTAGACTTTTAATTTCTACCGCTTGACTCCTGTTACATAGATAAGAGGCTAACCAGTCAAGTGCTAATCCTCTAATTGCATGACTTTCTAGCTTTTGAAGAAGCAAATCATGAGATACGAAATCAAAAGCGCGACTCATATCAAAAAGTATACTAGATATTGGTATTCCTTTATTCACGTTTTCCACTATTTCTTGTACCAAATAGAAAACTGCCAATAAAAATAAATCCCTATTTTGTTGCAATCCAAATTGTTCTGGCCTTATTATGTAATATTTGGAAGCAAAATTGAGCAGTCTTGTTGTAATAGCTTTTTCGAAAATTTTAGAAAACACCGGAATTAACGTAATAGGACGGTAATTGGCCATATCAGATTTCGTACCTTTTTTGTGTAGAGGCTCGACAATAGATATTTTAAGCAATTCAGGAAAAGTGCCATTTTTAAACCATTTTGAAATGAAAGATTCACTAGATAAGTGAGCTGCTCATTTAGTTCATCAGCACAATATTTGATTGCTTTAGTAGATATATCATCGTATCCTGTCGAATTTGTATTTCTTAATGGTTTTACTATATTATGTATTTCTTTTGGGTGCACATGTTGTAAATAAATACTATTTGTCAAAAGAGTTTTGTTTGTGTTGATCAAGCCTTCTTTTTTTGATTTTGTTAAGTCAATTAAATAATTATTAAATTCATTGGCAATAGAGTTTGGATCAGTTATAATATTATTATTTATTACGATTTCTTTTATAAATTGGTCACTATTAAGATTAGTTACTTCTGCTTTCACGATTTTCCAGGAGGTTTTTGCTTTGTTTTTTGCGTTTTTTATAAGTTTGTCATTGTGTAACTTTTGAGCTAAGTTTAGACATTTGCGTAGTATTTTAGAGTAAGACCTATATTGTTGTTTTTTAGTTTTTGATTTTTTGACGTAGTATTGGAAACGCAGTAATCTCTTAGTCTTACAGCTTTGCCTGATACCTTTAGTGATCCATTTTGGATTTTTATATCTGTTTGATATTTTGATAATTTTAATGGGAAAATTTAGGTTATACAAAAGGGTCAGGGTTTCATGGAAGTATTGCATAGATTTATTTAAGTCGTGTTCTTGTAATACTTCTAAAAAATAAAGTTCTTTCAAGCAGTTTCGAAACCTATTTAAATTTTGACTATAATAATCTCTGATATTTAAAAAGTACTCAATACGCTGCTCAAATTTTTTAATAACTGGTATGAATAACATTTGTGCCGTATTGTGATCAGATAGATGTAAGTGATGTAATTCAGCTGTAGCGTCGTCAATATTACTAAGTATATGGTCAATGCAAGTTTTTAGTCTAGTCGGTTCAGTTATGTATAATATTAAACTATAATTTTTAAGTATGTCCAAGAAGATTCTAATATTTTTTAATAATTTTGCCTCTAAAGTTGATATTGAGGTCACCAGCTAAAATAACTTTAGTTTTTGATTGTTTTGTGTATTTGTGTAGTACTTCATCTAGCTTTGACAAGAAAATGTTTATATTTGATTTGGGCGATCTATAAACACATATTATGCAAATATTGTGATATAGTAGCTTAACACCACAACATTCGAATATTGTGTCCTGAGCATTCTATATATATTAGTATAATATAGTATATATATTTCAGTTTTTTATTTATTAAAATACATGTACCACCCCTACTTCTCATGTTTTGCCTGCAGTAAGACGTTGCTAAATCATAACCAGTTACAATTATACGACTTTCGTTACCAACTCTAATAATTGTTTCTGATAGGCAAGTAATGTCTGGACCTTTTTGATTCGAATGTAATTCAGAAATTGCAACATCCAATAATGATTTTTTAGAAACATACCCAGCTATATTCTGGTGCATCAATTTTATATAATTAGGTTTTTCAACATTAACGAAAAAAAAAATTATTTTGGCATGAACAAGACGAGTCTAAACTTACTGGAACTGTAATGTTAGGCTCGTTAAGATATGGGTCTTTCAGACTATATAGATAATAATACTGTGTGATGTCATTTATTAATTCATTCAAATTTTCGATAATAATTTTATACCCAACGATGCTTACCAAACCGCTTGCAGTATACATTTTCGAACAGCATTCCAAGTTTTTGTTACTATCTAATAAATAAACATATTCATGGTACTTATTGTCCCGATACAGCAGATTGTTGAATATTTCTACTCGTTTATTGTATAAGTTTGCATAATTACCAGATTTATAAGTGGGCAAACAAAATATTATATTTGTGTGTTGTACATTTTGTAATGTGTTTCGGATATTTGCTATTAATCTAGAATATTTGTGAGTTTCTTTGAAGTCTGAGTCACCTATAAATATAACACAGTAGTCATTAAAATTAAAATCGCCTAATTTATTTTCTATACCTTTCAGAAGTTTCTGTATACTAGCTCCTGGAGTTATGTAATAACAGATGTCGGTGTGGTCAATTTTACTAGCTTTTTTGTAGATGAACAAATTTGTGATAAGGCTTTATTTAAAGCTTCTAATTTAGTGATACGATTTTTAATTTTCCGATAGCAGATTTTTTATTTCTTCATCAGCGGATTCTAATTCTAATTGAAGTTTGTAATTATTTTCCTTTAATTCCTCTGAATGTTCCCCTTGGTTAATTTCTATTTCCGGACAACTTCGGTTAAGTTTCGCAGTAATGGCTGACAGATTCGACAGACGTCTATCTGGACAGATATTCAAATGCTTGAACATTATCAACCATCGTTTCATCATCGTAAATGATGATTTCAAAATGACCATGAGCTTGAGCGGTGAAGGAAAATATCGTGATGAAACCTGCACTTCGAAGAGTGAACCTCGGGAAACGTGTGAAGTCTCCAATTCATATTGGACCAGCGTGATGGACTATGGCCTA